GAGCCACCTGTGGTATAATTCCGTCCCCACCCCTGACTATGGGAGAGGAGGCTCTAAAACAGTGGTTCTCAACCTCTGGGTCGCGACCCCTTTGGGGTAGCATATCAGATATTTACATTACAATTCATAACAGTAACACAATTACTGTTAAGAAGTAGCAACGAAAGTAATTTTAAGGTTGGGGGGGGTCACCACAGCACGAGGAGGACTGTGTTAAAGGGTCGAAAGCTCCGGGGAGGTTGAGAAGCGTGGCTCTAGGAGTGAGTGGCCACGATAGACCCTATCTGTCGTATCAAGCGCACTTCTGCCTTCCTTTGAGAGTGCTGCGGCCTTGAATGAGAACAGGCCCTGCTGGCCCCTCTTCCTGCCTTCTGCCTGTCACAGTTATCAGTGCGGAGCTGGGAGCCCTTCTTAAAGTCCTGCGGGGCCCCAGGGGAGAGAGCCACCCACGATCTAGTCTTTTCTCCACAGAAAATGCTGCTTCTGGAGCCTGGGGGCAGGGTGCATCACCAGGGCTACGCTCGTGGTGTCCTTTCTCAAGGCCCAGGAGTGCCAGCCATTGCCATGTAAGGCAGGTTTCCAAAGGGGAAGTCAGGACAGCGGGTGAGATCAAAGGTGAATGTGGTCAGGGCACTCACTCTGGTCTGGAGAAGGGGCTTGGGTGAGGTCCCTTGACAGGCCCTTAGTGTTCTCTGGCAGCAAGGCCTGGGGATGCAGAGGTAGTCTCTCCTTGCCTTCTTCCCCCTCTGCCTCCTTGGCCATTCCCAGAAGGCTCTGGGAACAGCTAGCTGCCGGGTGCTCCAGAGGGAAACAACTCCTCTTGACAGCCCAGCCTCCCCGGGAAGCAAGCCACGCTTTGGGGTGATAGACAGAAAGAAGAAAAATGTCTCACCAGAGATCCAGCCGGCCACAAACTCCTCCACAGGCATCGTATGGGCTCCGGTGGGAACTGGTGCTCTAGGCAGGACCGCGGAGAAGACTGTTGCCAGTGAAATCCCCACCCCCTTTCCAAACCCGATAACCTCCCACTAATGTTTAACCCTGGCTGGAGGGTGAGAAGTGGCCCAGTGCCCAGACCTCAGGCAACCATTAGCAAGAGTGAGCCAACTTCAGTGACCCTGAGTCTGCAAGAGGCCTGTGAAGTATGGGATCTCTAGCGGCAGGTTGACAGACCCAGCTAGCCTGAGTCCTGTCCCTGGACAGTGACAACCATCTGTGTGACAGAGGATGACAACTGAGTGCTAGCTTGGTGAGCCTCTCCAAGGCTGCCTTATTGAGCAAGAAGCAAGGTCCCACCTGGCCAGCCAGTCCAGAGCAAATTCCCATTCATTCACAAGGCGCTCAAGCCTCCCTTCCCCTGACTACCGTGAGGCTAGGTGAAGTCAGAATGTGGCCACCAGGTGGCAGGCCCAGGCTACAGTGCCCTGCAGCAGCCACCAGAGCCTAGGGCAGGGTGGAACAAGCCGAAAGTGAGGCCCCTGCCCCCAGAAGTGACTCACCAGGCCCTGAAGCCTGTTTGTCCGCTTTCTCCAGAGTTGTTTACAGTCAGAACGGCAGCCTCCTCTTGCCCAGGGGAAGGAACAATGGGCTGTTGACTGCACAGAGACCCGGGCTACACTGCATCAAAACCAAAATTCTGCTCTCGGGCCTCTGCCTCTGCCTCCAGAGGACCGGGCACGGAGGCCCTCACCAGATGCCAGAGCCTAGATTTTTTTTTATTTCCTCGTCTCTAAACGGCAACAAACGAATTTCCTTTCTGTAAAAATTAAAAAGGAAGGCTAAATATCCTCTATGCCTTCTGAGCCCTCACAGTTCCGCCCTTCTCTGACTTCATGTCCTGCTTCCTGCTCCGCTGGAAACAGGCTCTCAGCCTCGAGGCCCTAAAGCCGGCTTGGCTCCCCGTCCTGAACACACTCTCTGCGAACTCCTTCAAGCTGGGGCTGAAACATCACCTTCTCAGTGAGGCCCACCCCCCAGTCATCTCATGGACAACTGAAATCCCCCCCAAGTCTGCACCCCTCCCTCCCAGGTCTTCCTCTCCTTCTCATGCTTGTCACTGACCTGTGACATGCAACTAACTGGTTGTCTGCAGTCAGGGACCTGTGGCTGCTTTATCCACTTACATGCTCAAGGGATTAGAGACTGGCACAGGGCAAACATAATGAGTGCCGATGAATGACGAATGGATGAATGGTGGCCAGAGAATGAGAAAATCCATCAACGGAGAGGTGGACAAAGACTGTGGTACCTGCACACAATGGAGTTTTTAGGTGTAAAGAACAACAAAGTGACATCATCATCATGCTAAACAAAATAAGCTGACATCAGAAAGACCATTATCACATTTTCTTTCATGTGTAGAATCTAAAATTAAAAATAAACCAGGCAAACTGGATGGTGGTGGTGGTGAATGCCTTACATCCCAGCACTGGGAGGCAGAGGCAGGCAGATCTCTGAGTTTGGAGCCAGCCTGGGCTACAGAGTGAGTTCTAGGGCAGCCAGGGATACACAGAGAAACCCTGTCTCAAGGGGGGAAAAAAAAAAGCAATAAATGCTTTTAATTGTTCCATTTCTCCAGCCCCAATATTCATTCATTTATTTTTATGTGTGTATGTCTGTGTGCTGAATGTATGTATGTGTCCTATCAGTGTGCATGAGCCCTCAGAGGTCAGAAGAGGGTGTCAGATCTTTTAGAAATGCAGTTACAGGAGGTTGTAAGCTACCACACCTGTGCTGGGAACAGAACCCGGGTCCCTCAGTGCTATTAACCAGCGTCAGCCCTCCAGGCCCATTTTTAAAAAGACGAATTAACTGCCAGCCTGGTCTACAGAGCGAGATCTAGGACAGGCACCAAAAACTACAAGGAGAAACCCTGTCTCAAAAAAACAAAACAAAGAAAAAACGAATTAATTCATTGTGTGTTTCAGGGACAAATAGTGAGCAAGAGTGTGCACACCTGTACCACAGCACTCATATAGAAACCAAAGGACAACTTTGGGGAGTAGTTGCCACCTTCCACTTTGTTAAAGCAGGTCTCTCTGGTTTCTGATGCTGCACAGCATGGTCTGCCTGCTTCCAGGTGAGTCTCTCGTCTCCACTGCCCATCTGGCCGTAGAAGTGATTTGACTAGATGCCCGACATCCTGTCCACTTGGGTCGTCTGGAGTGCAGTGAGCACTTTCACTCACCCCCCATCTCCCCAGCTCCAGAATCCAGAACGAATGTGTACACACCTCACACATGTGCACACATGCACACACACCACACATGCACATACGCACACACAGAGGACATAAACATAGAAAGAAGGGACACTATGTGGGGAAGGGAAAGTCCAAAACGTGGAGGCAGTGATGGAGCAGGGGAGAAAGGGGAAGGGTTCCACATTTTCTCTCAGGGGTAGCTCAGGATTGGAGTGCTTGCTTCATTCACACGCAGGAGGCCCTGGGTCAAACCCACATCAACACACACACACACACACACACACACACACACACTGGGTTAAACCCACATCAACACACACACACACACACACACACACACACACTGGGTTAAACCCACATCAACACACACACACACACACACACACACACACACACCACACACTGGGTTAAACCCACATCAGCACACACACACACACACACACACACACTCACACACACTGGGTTAAACCCACATCAACACACACACACACTGGGTTAAACCCACATCATCACACACACACACCTTTTTAAAGTATCCAGCACATATATGGTGGCTACTAATCCTCTAGGTTCCATTCACAGAGCCCATAAGACCTGTTCATGAGACCCTCGGGAGAGGGCTTGGCCTGTGTCCAGCACATAGCAGGTGAGCAGGAACTGAAGAGCTTCCCTCTCTGCCTGTAGTGTTTTGTATCTCCTATGGCAGTACTGTGGCCTTCTGTAATATTTATTGTTGTGACTTTGTTTGTTTGTTTGTTTGTTTTGGAGACAGTCTCATATGGCCCATGCTGACTCTGTCCTGTGTGGCCAAGTATGGCCTCAACTCCTGTGATCCTCCTGACTCCATCATCAAATGCTGAGGTTACAGCGTTTGCCCATGGTTGACCCACCTCTTGTGGTTTTGTTTGGTTGGTTTTTCACTGTATAGCTCTGTCCTGGAAACCCAAGATCTGCCTTCCTCTGTCTCCCTCTGCTGGAATTAAAGGCTTGTGTGCCATCCAGTTTGGACCGAAATGAATTAAACTGAAAAACTCAGCAAGGCATGGTGGCACATATCTTTAATCCCAGCACTCTGGAGGCAGAGGCAGGTGGATCTCTGTGAGTTTGAGGCCAGCCTGGTCTACAGAGTGAGTTCCAGGACAGCCAGGGTTACACAGAGAAACCCTGTCTCAAAAAACAAAACAAAACGAAAAGAAAAGAAAAAAGATCGCCGGGCGGTGGTGGCGCAAGCCTTTAATCCCAGCACTCGGGACGCAGAGCCAGGTGGATCTCTGTGAGTTCGAGGCCAGCCTGGGCTACCAAGTGAGCTCCAGGAAAGGCGCAAAGCTACGCAGAGAAACCCTGTCTCGAAAAACCAAAAAAAAAAAAAAAAAAAAAAAAGAAACGAAAAGAAAAGAAAAGATCAACAAAACAAAAACAACACTGAAGACCAGCCAGGAGCTTCCACTACTGCCCAGCCCAGCGTTGGTCCCAAGGAAGCATCTCCGTTTCAGAGAGGGGTCCAGTCAAGTCGCAAGGAGAGGGAGCGGCACAGCTCGCGCGCTCATGCTTGGTTTTCATGGATCTTGGCCACATCCTATTACAGATCAAGGGTCTCGTGCACGGAGCAACACGGGCCATTCAAGTAGGCGGCGGTGACAGACACAACAAGGGGCGTGGCTAAGCCGGGCTCGCGCCAGGGGCTTTCGGATGCGCGCGACCCACGGAGCTAGGGGGCGGGCGGGCGGGCGGGTGGGGCCGAAGGGCGGAACGAGTGAGCGCGCGTGCGCCGAGGCTCCGGACTCCGATTGGCTCCCACGGTCGAAGAGGCGAGGCCTGGGATCCGAACTTCCTCCCACGGTAGCTTCGGCTGCGCCTAGACTGCGTACCCACCCTCCGCTGGGGTCTGAGACCCCGCTGGCGGCCGTGGCGGAGGGTCCAGAGCTGGAGGCCTGAATCGGGTGGCATTCTGGCGTGAGGCAGCGGGCTCTGCGACCCTGCGAGGTGAGAGCGGGGCCACTCCCTGCCCGGGTCCCCGCCCTGGAGGGGGGCGCGCCTTGACTTGCCTGGGCGACCTGCGACCCCATGCACCTGACGGTCACTGCCCTGACCCAGCACCACCCCTGCCTGCACTCGGCCGAGCGTCACTCCCCTCTTCCCGCCTGCACAGTTGATCCCTGTACATAGATTAAGACTTGTAGACCGAGCCCGGGACCCCTTGGCTTCTTGGCGGAAAGTTTGAGGAGACCGTCAGCCCAGGATCCCCATTAAATGCTCTCTGTCGTTCCTGTTGCAGATGGATGGCGCAGAAGGTAACTCGGGGCAGCCCGGCCCCGCGGAGCGGTCCCACCGAAGCAGCGTTTCCTCCGTGGGGGCCCGGGGTAGGTCTCTACGCTTTTTTTCATCTCTTCTGGACCCTTTTTGGTCCGACCCTGGGGACGTGGCTCCGGTTTGCCTTCGTTTTCAGTAAGTTAATGTTACAAGAAGGAAGATGTGCTAAGGTGTGGCAAACCCATAGAAGTCAGAGGACCGAGCTGGGCTGTGTCAGTCGTAGTGACCAAGCCACGCACTTCTTGACTCTTCATGTCTTCACGTGAGGACACGTAAATGGAAAGTGACACCACTTCTTGGGTTCCATTTCTTTCTTACAAACAGCCTTTTGAAAGCAGGGATTCTCTTCTTCGTTTTATTGGAAGGCAATTCGGCCCCAGAGAGGTTGTTAGGTCTCAAACTACCGGAGCGGGCCAACGTGATCATGAACTTGAGCCTTCAGGGCCCTGTTTTCCTGCCTGTAAAATGGATCTGAAACCCAGTCTCCTGGAGGAGACTGTTTGATCTCTCAAAGTAGCTGTGGGAGCGGAAGAGACCAGAATCTAAAAAGTCTCGTCAGCGTGTTAGCTGTATGCCATGCCCAGCACATTTACAGGCTTTGTAGGGTTGGTAGCGACCCTTTGAGGAGTGGTTATTAACTGTTTTTACAGATTTACAGCTGACTCGGAGTCCCGCTGGAGTCAGCCAAGTAAGCAGAGAGCGGCAAGGATCGCAAGTTGAGGATTTAAGCCCCCAAACTCAGTGTTCCTTTACTGGGCCTGTGGTTCAGGGATGGGGATTTGAACCTGGCCACCCTGCCAAGCATCTTCCGCTGGATGTGGATTCCAAATGGGAATCCAGCTTGTTACAAGGGAACACTTGGCTATATGAATTGTTTGTTTTTCCCTGGTCTACTTAAAGCTATTCGCAAAAGCCACAATACTGATCCTTAGAGTTCTGAAGAGTCCCAGTGAAGCTGAGAGTTGGAGCCTGCTGTAATCTGGAGTGGCCTTAGAAAACATCATTGCCCTCTTAGTCTGACCCAGACAGTCAGAAGGTCACTAGTTGGCCTTGCTCCCAGCCTGATACGGAAGTGTGACCTCAGGATAAGTGACCCCTGTCCTACTTCCCCACCTGAGAAATAGAATTGGAAATTCAGCAGTGTTTGATACTGCAGAGGAAGAGGCAAGGTGGTTTTCATGTACCTAGCGGGTGAAAGGGGCCACCTGGGCCATGGTTTCTGGGTAATTTGAGGTCTCAGAAAGGCAGCACTTTTATTTATTTATTTTTAAAATACTGGTCTTGCTATGGAGCCCAGGCTGGCCTAAAACTTGAAATCCTCCACCTTTAGCCTCCTGAGTCCTGGGACCACAGGTGTGTGCCACCATACCTGGCCGTAAGCATCACTGTTACCGGGGTCTTGAGGGGGTATGTCAGTGTAGCCTGGTCATATATGGAGCAAAGGGTGGTGGAGAAGGCCCCCTTGGCCTTATTGGCCTGGTGGTGGGCCTCGGATGACGAGTCCAACTTATCTTCCAGCAGCAGATGTGCTGGTGTACCTGGCTGATGATACAGTGGTGCCCCTGGCTGTGGAGAACCTGTCCTCCATCAGTGCCCATGAGCTGCACCGTGCAGTCCAGGAAGTCCTGCAGCTCCCAGACGTGGCCCTGGAGGCCTTTGCACTCTGGCTTGTCTCCCCTCTTCTGGGTAAGATCTGGCAATGAGAGGGGAGGGTGAGAAGGACACTAACTGGGGCAGAGAGAGGGCTTAGCTATGAGAACCTGTGGCCACTACTGGTCGGAGAGATGGGACCTGGTGTGTCCCGGAGCCCCAGGAGGTCTCCGGATCCCTTGTCGCTGCCTTTTTCTTGTGCTGATGCAGTACTGCTGGATCCCTGACCTCCAGAGGAGCAGAAGGCCCCCTGCATACAGAGGGTGCAATCTGAGCCACGCCCGGGGAGGTTAACTTCAGTGTTTCCCCTGTGTGTGAGGAGGGCTCAGGTCTGCCCTGCAGCGTGAAGTCCTGCGATCTGGAGCAGCGGGTTAGTGGTGTCAGGACCAGAGACCCCAGCGGCCAGCTCTGCGTGCTGGCAGTAGGGAGGGGTGTAGATGTGGCTAGGGAAACGCTGCTGCGGTACAGGGACACCTTTGCTTAGGGGTGGGGCTGCGGGGAGAAGAGGAGCATGGCTTTCTGCATGGCGCCTCTGCCCTACCTGGTGTCTGGCCCCGTGACCACACACTTCCTGCCCTCCTTGTAGGCTGGGGCCCCAAAGTGGGATGGGAATGGAAGACAGGGTTTTATAGACTCAGGCCAGTGAATAAAGTCCCTCATTATGGTCCCTGAGCCTGTTGACAGGGAAGGAAAGACTAAAGGAGGGTCATTGTCATCATTTTGGGAAATAAATCAGGGCTGGCGCCAGCGTGTTCTCTGAGCTTAGATTTTCCTTTGAGGGCTGGCAAGGTGGCTCGGGGTGATGGCGCTTGCCGCTAAGCCTGTCACCCTAGGGTGATCCTTGGAACCTGTGTAGTGGAAGGAGAGAACAAGTTCCTGCAAGTCCTCCTCTGACTTCCCATTCATGACCGCACGTGCACATGCAATAAATTAATAATAATAATAATAATAATAATAATAATAATAATAATATTTAAGTTGAGCATATACCAAAGTATGGGTTTTGTTGTTGTTGTTGTTGTTGTTGTTGTTTTTTCGAGACGGGGTTTCTCTATGTAGTTTTGGTGCCTGTCCTGGATCTTGCTCTGTAGCCCAGGCTGGCCTCGAACTCACAGACATCCGCCTTCCTGTGCAGCACCACTGCCAGCCCAAAGTGTGTGTGTTTTTTTTTAAAATCCTTTGTGGGTTAGGAACACAGCTCAGTAGCAGAGTGCTTGTGTAGCCTGTGCACAGCCCTGCATCAGTCCCTAGTGTTGACAAAACCAGAGAGTGACAGTGCCCTTGTGGAGGAAGGGCCACTTGGTCTCAAGAATTTGAGCAGGACAGCTGGGTCAGGCCCTAGGGATCAGAACTGGTACCTCCCTCTCCCGAGGCCCCTAGGTTTCTGCCCCTAGCCTGTGGGAGGAGCTCCAGGCCCCCCCCTCCTCCCTGCCCCCTGGCTTCCTGCAGTTGCTGTTCCCAGGCTCACACCCACCTCTTCCGCTGTCCCAGCCCCTCCTTTGCTGGGGCCCCTTGGCTATGTGGAAAGCTGGGGATAGCAGGTCCTAGTGGGTGGCCCCTCATCAGTCACAAGAGGCTCCCAGTGCTGCTGCCGGGCAGCCTGCTCCTCCTCCATGTTATTCATGCCCGCTCCCTCACATTCCCTAGCCTGCCGGTGGCAAGAACTGAATGCTTTGCCTGTCCAGGATGAGAGTGCCTGAGGCTGCAGCACACTCAACACCCACGTTCTTCCCAGGCTGGGGTGGGAGGCTGAAAGGTTCCTTCAGACCCTTCCACACACACGCACACACACACACACACACACACACACTAAGCAGGGCAGTGACCTGTGAGGCGGAGTCTGTCATGCTCCTCATTATTGCCTGCGTGGAACTAGCTCCAGGAACTGTGGTCTTACTTGGATGATGGCCGCCAGGGAGGAAGGTCCCACCCTGAAGTCTGAGGCTGTGGTGTTGGGATAGCCCTGTTCTGATGGCGGGGGCTCTGGGACTTGGAAGTGAAGGCAGGAGGAACACCCCGTGCCCAGGTCTTCCGTCCCACTCTGGATTTCCTCAGTGCTGAGGCAGACAGGGAATCTGACGCATGGCATCCTCCATGGGAGAACTCAGAGCGTTGCCCCTGAGTCAGATGTGTCCCGAAGGGAGGCTTGAGATTTAAGCTCTGGTCCTGTGTGGCCGTTAACTGTGTGTAGCCCTGGGAAGTGGCCATCCCCTGTGGGCTTCAGGTGAGTGAGTGGTCTTGGAGTCCTGTAGCCCCATCTTGTGAGCCTGTGGATAGTGGGGGGACGGGGAGGTGGAAGAAATGAAGGCTATGGGAAAATGGGGTCAGAAACAGGACAAGAAAGGTCTGGAGCTGGATACAGAGGTTGGATGGAGGAGGCTAGAAGGCCACTTGGAGGCTGGGGCTGCTATCTGGTCAAGATCAGGGTCCAAAGGAAGGTCCGAGTGGTCCACAGAACCGTTGGCATCTGGCTGGCAGGACAAAGAGCTCAGCCGTTAGTGGGGAGGGGGCAGCCAGAGGGAGAACGGGATTCGTGTCTGGCACGGACGTGCTGGCATCCTCACCGTGTATCTCAGCACATCCCTGGGTGAGCCCAGCAGCACCTCACCTCTCAAGCCACGTCTCGGGACCACTGTCACCCAGTTCACAGGGCCCTAGTGTACAAGCTGAATCTGTCACTTGCTGTGGCTTGAGGCAGGTGACTCACCCCTCTGAACCTGGTACTCCCCAAGTTAGAATGGAGGTCAGGGTTGTTCAGGGCGAATACACTTAAATCACTGGCCGTGGCTCTGGGCCTGCTCAGTTGCTGTTGGTTGTGACTGTCCTCATTGTCGGTGGGCGGTATGACGGTGATTAGGCACCATCGGCCTGGTCAGCGGCACCTGCATGGCCATCTCCTCTTTTCCCCTGCAGAGGTGCAGTTGAAGCCCAAGCATCAGCCCTACAAGCTGGGCCGCCAGTGGCCAGAGCTGCTGCTGCGATTCACCGATGCCTCGGATGAAGACGTGGCCATGGGTCAGTGTCGCTGGGGCAGGGGCTCTGTCTGCTCAGCAGTTTGTCAGCCACCCGACAGAAGAACTGGGAGGGCATCTGAAGGGAGCTTTGGGGCGGCTAGGCTGGGAGAGGCTGTGAACCGAGATGCACTGTGTGCTCATGGTCTGGCCGGCACCCCCCTACACACACACTCAGGAGGGCTCTCCAGGGAGGAGAATGAGGTTGGAGCTGGGGTGGGCCACTTAGGGTAGGGCAGGGCTATGTAATGCAGGGGGACCAGGCACTGACTCTAGCCCCTCTCTCCAGATGAGCCTTCCCTTCAGTTCCGAAGGAATGTGTTCTTCCCAAAGCGCCGAGAGCTCCAGGTAAGGCGTGCGCCAGTGCCCAGTCCCCCCAACCCCTGGATGCCTAGACCGTCATGCCTTGCCCAGTTCCTCTGTGCCGTTGTCTTCATGCCACACTGGCCTGCAGATCCGTGACGAGGAGGTCTTGCGGCTGTTCTATGAGGAAGCCAAGGGCAACGTGCTGACTGCTCGGTACCCTTGCGACCTGGAGGACTGTGAGGTGCTGGGTGCCCTCATATGCCGTGTGCAGCTCGGGCCCTACCAGCCTGGCCAGGCTGCTGCCTGCACTCTGAGGTAAGGACCGTGAGACTTGAGATAGGCACGCAGTGGGAAAGTTGCTGTGCGAGGTTCTACTTACAGGTGGTTCTAGGTCCTGCAAGGTGGGGCAGTCCTGAAGTCAGGCCTCGGATGCACACAGGCTCACTGGGTGGCCTTGGTGAGTTCTCCACTTTTCTGAGCTCCCTTTTCCTCAATCTGTGGGCAGTGGATACACACATGAAGTGACTTCTAAGGGGCATCCTCAGCACAAGGGATGTGCACGTGTAGATGGAGCCCTACCTCTAGCTGAAGTCTGGAGGGAGTTGTACTTTTGTTTTTTAAATGGTTTATTTTTATTTTATGTTCCTTGGTGTTTTGCCTACATGTCTGTCTATGTGAGGGTTCTAGATCCCCTGGAACTGGAGTTATATAGACAGTTGTGAGCTGCCGTGTGGGTGCTGAGAATTGAACCCAGGTCATCTTGAAGAGCAACCAGTGCTCTTAACCTCTGAGCCATCTCTCCAGCACAGGAATTGTGCTTTTATTCTTTAGAGTCACAGCCAGGAAGTGACTATATGACACACACACACACACACACACACACACACACACACACACACACACACACACCAGTAACCACTAACAGTTCAGCGTAAACTCCAACCCCCAAGAATAGAATCCTGTTTCCAGACGCTCACCAGGCCGCTGGCTGCTTCTGGTTCCTGTCTAGAAGGATGGAAGCTGAGTCTGCCATAATAGCAGAGCATGTTGGCCTCCGCCTCCATAGAGGTTTAGAAATAGTTCCAGGGACAAGGTCTGGTCCGTACCTGTAATCCTAGCATTTGGAAGGCTGAGAATGGATTACCATGGGCTCTGAGCTAGCCTGAGCTAAAGAGCTGTGAGCAGGCATGATGCCTCATGCTCGTAATTACCATAAACACTCAGGGAGTAGAAGCAGGGAGATCAGGAGTTCAAGGTCATTCTTAATACATGGTATGTTTGAGGCCAGCCTGGGTTACATGAAACCCTGTCGCAAACAAACAAAGAATGGGACAAATTCTGGTGAGTAGTATACTTGCATTCCAACCTATTTCTAATCAGGGTTCCTTGTTTCCCCAATCCTGCAATGAATGGATAAGTCAGTAAAGAGGGACCCTGTGCTGATGACTACTTGGAGCCCGGCAGGACTAACCTGGGTTCAAAGTCCCCTGAAGGCTTACAGCTGAGCTGTCTAAGTTGGTGGCCATGCATCCTGAACCTCAAGATGGACAAATCTGTTTTTCTTGTGCCTGACAAGAAGCCCAGCTCTGGGGCTGGAGAAATGACCCATTGACTGCTCTTTCAGAGGTCCTGAGTTCAATTCCTAGCAACCACATGATGGCTCACAACCATTTATAATGGGATCTGATGCCCTCTTCTGGCCTGCAGGCAAACATGCAGAGCACTTATACCAAAAAAAGCCCACATAAATAGATAAAGAAGCCCAGCTCAACGCATCGCACAGTTCCTTTGTTCACTCATGCAAGTCTGGATAGTCAGGGTGTCCTGGCCTGAGCTCAGCCGTGTCCCAGACCCTCTGCTCTCTGCCATTCAGCTCTTGTCTGGACTCAGACATGTTATTCCCTTGTGACCTGGTGGCTGCAGCAACTGTCTATTGCAGAGGAGAGGTGCCGCTTTCCTTACACAGCTAGAGCCCCCAGGCTCACTCTCATGGCACATAGCTTATGCTAGGCCTACCCAGAGGAAGGAAGTACAGTGGTTAGACCCCTGACGGGCTGCAGCTGTGTCCTCCATGGACCCCACTGTGAGCCTGCACAGACCTGAGAGCTGAGAACAGGCTTTTCCGTGACATGTGGGAGCTGTCGTTAAAAAAATGACTTGGGTAGGGGTGGGACACAGATGGTGATGGGCACAGCTGGAGTCCCTCAGGCACCCAGGGACTCGGGCTAACAAGTTCCCTCCTGGCCTTTCCCTTCGCTTCCCTTGGAGCAGCTGTTCCTCCCCATGGCCTGGGCATTTCGATTTCAAAAGCCCCAGCAGGACTGCCCTCTGGAAAAGGTGATACCATGGAGGTTTACCAAGTTAACTTGAAGCTGGGGTCCACGTTGGGCTCTCTGTGCCTGTAGGATTTATGGTTCTGTTGTAGACAGGCCTGTATGCAGATGCTGACTTTGAGGCCCCAGACCCAGAACTCTGAATGTGGCTAGAATGTCAGTTCTCTGCCAGCAGGAGCTCAGGTGGCCTGAGGTGGAAAATGGTCGAGAGCCTCCCTGCCTTGTGTTCCTGTTTTCTGGGTCAGTGGGACTTTTTCCAGCAAAAAATGACATGGATGGTGTGGTCCTCAGTGCTGGCTGGTTTTATGTCAACTTGACACAAGCTATAATCATCTGCGAGGAGAGAACCTCAAGAGAAAAAGTGCCTCCAGATCCGGCTGTAGGCAAGCCTGTAGAGTGGACCCAGGACCAAGCCGTGGGCCACACAGCTAAGCCTGGGGCTCTAGCTGTGTAAGGAGGATGCTCTATTTTCCATGAATCTATGATGCTCTGGTTGGTATTCAGCCATTCTTCTCTTGCTGAACAGGACACTGAGAGGCTGTCTTGGTTGGGGTTCCTACTGCTTTGATAAAACATCATGACCAAAAGCAGCCAGGGAGGAAAGGGTCTGCTTGGCTTACACATCCTGAATCACTGCCCACCGGGGAAAGCCAAGGCGGGAGCTCAGACCAGGTGGGAACTTGAAGGTAGTAGCATGTGCGGAGGCCATGGAGGGCTGCTGCTCACTGGCTTCTTCCTCATGGCTTGCTCAGTCTGCTTTCTCTTGGTTTTTCAAGGCAGGGTCTCTGTGTAACAGTCCTGGCTGTCCTGGAATGGAATTCTGTACACCAGGTTGGTCTCAAGCTCACAGAGATCCGCTGCCTCTGCCTCCTGAGTGCTGGGACTAAAGGCATGCGCCACACCTGGCTTCAGTCTGCTTTCTTTTAGAACCCAGGACTGTCAGCACAAGGGGCTTGGCTCTCCCTGTCAGTTGATGCCCTACAAGAAAATGCCCTGCAGGCTGGCCCACAGCTGGATCTTACAGAGAGCGGCATTTTCTCACTCAGGCTCCCTCCTCTCAGGTGATTCTAGGTGACTGTGTCAAGTTGACATAGAACTAGCCAGCACAGCATCACAGCATCTGTGTCATTTTGGGGTGGAAAAAGTCCCATTCACTCAGAAAACCCAGTTGTCTAGCTTCAGAACACAGACGTTGCTCAGATACCTGCTCCAGCCAGACTGCTCCTCTGCCCTTTTCCGGCTTCCCATCCCAACCTGAGCACCTCCCAAGCCTTCCTGCTCGCCCCTGGCCCTTAGTGTCACCAAACCTCGTTCGATGGGAAAGGGGTTCTCCACAGTGCCCAGCATGCAGTGGGTGTTAGAATGTTTGTCTCCTTCCCTCTCGGGTGAAGACTGGTCTGGTGACAGCCTGTCTGTCTCTGCCAGCCCAGGGTGTTCTCTTGAGCTTCCTGGGTAAACAGGTGCTGGCTGATGGGGAGGAAGGTTTTGCCTGGTGCAGCAGGAGAGAGCAGGATCAGAGCGTGGCCGCAGATGGCAACCCCAGTCTGTCCTTGGGGGACCCCCTCCCAAGTCCTGGGCCTAGGCTTGCAGAACTTTCGTGTTTTAGTGTAGTGGCAGCTGTCCTGGGAATAGGGTGGCAGCGCTGTCTCCCCCCCCCCCCCCCCTGCAGATAGGCAGGTGGCCCTGCTGGTCTCAGTGCTTCAGAGCCTGACCACACCTGTGCCTGCTGCTCTGGGCTCCCCCATGCATGCTCTGGGTCTCTTATCCCCTCCATGGCTTAGAGGTTGTTATGAGTTCCCTTCTGGGAACCCCATTACTCTCTGGGAGAGGAAGAGCATCCATCCCACCCCCACCTGACTCAACAGTGGACCTTGCATATCAGGCAGGGTTGGCCTGGAGCCAGGCTGAGCAGACCATTGCTGGGTGGGGACAGTGGGGACTCTGTGCAGTTCAGGACCCCTATCACCCCTAATGTGTTGTGGGATATGTGTACACTGTGTGAAGATAATATTACTGTGGTTGGTTTAATAAAGATTTGAACGGCCAATAGCTAGGCAGGAGATTCAGGTGGGACTTCTGGGCAGAGAGAAAGGAAGTGAATCTAGGCGTGAGTCAGATGCCAAGGAGACATAGAGGGAGTCGGACTTACAAAGTGAAAGAAAGAAAGGTAAAAAGCCACATGGTAAAACAGATTAGTAGGAGCAGGTTAATTTAAGTTAAAAGAGCTAGCGGGACAAGCCTAAGCTAAGGCCGAGCTTTCGTAATTTATAAGAAGTCTCTGTCCAGGCAGTGGTGGCGCACGCCTTTAATCCCTTAGGAGGACTTGGGAGGCAGAGCCAGGCAGATCTCCGTGAGTTCGAGGCCAGCCTGGTATACAGAGCGAGATCCAGGACAAGCTCCAAAGCTACACAGAGAAACCCTGTCTCGAGAAAAACAAACAAACAAAGAAGTCTCTGTTGTTATTTGGGAGGTGGTGGTAGAGAAAGACTCTCTACACTTCTGCACAGCAGAGGGCCTTGGTGTAGTCGTGCCTTAAAGGTTCATAGCCCTGCCACCTGCCAAGCCTTGCCCACCCTGTGAGCACGGTACTCACACCCCTGGAAAGACCACTTCTTCCCCATTTTCCTTCCCCTACAGGGAGAAGTTGGACTCCTTCCTTCCTGCCCACCTCTGCAAACGAGGCCATGGCCTCTTTGCTGCCTTCCGGGGCCGCGGGGCCAAGACTGGGCCAGGCGAGCAAGGCCTGCTGAATGCCTACCGCCAGGTGAAGGAAGCAGCCGGCAGTGACAGTGAGCCTGAGACCACCTTGGGCTCCCACTATCGCGCCTACCTCCTCAAGTGCCACGAGCTGCCCTTCTACGGGTAAGTGGTGCATCTCAGGAGCTCCTGCTCCCTCTTTCAGTACCCTGCAGACCGCCCGGAGGCTGGATGGTGAGGCAGGAGAGACCCCCCCTGAGCTCCACTGGCACCATCCTGCTCTGGAAGAGCTGGCTGGACACTGATCGCAAGTGGACTATCTGCTCTTCTTCCCATCCCCAGTCCTCACTCCTTCCTCGGTCCTCCCTACCCGCCACAGCCCCTTGCTGGCCTGGCTGATGGCCTTGCAGCTAGTGCCCTTGTTCACACACGGTGTGTAACAAATCGTTCTCTCTTGCTGGGCGTGCTCCACACAGCAGAAGCTGCTCTGTGGGACAACAGAGGAAGGGAACCACTGTAAATAGCAGCCAGGAGAGCCGAGGTGGTGGGAACAGTAATCTAGACACATGGTTTTCCACACCAGCCTGTAGTGTTGACCAGTTGTCATTTACTGGGATGTCGGCTTGAGTAGAGCAGGTTCCTTAAGGTGGGAACTTGGTTTTGGGTGTGCCGGCTGAAAGATGCCGATTAGATGCCTGTGTGGTGATTCCATACAGGCATTGGGTTCCTGGTCTGGGGCTAAAAAAAAGATTGGTGAATTGTTTCAAATCTGGAGCCCTGAGATGGCCAGGGACCCAGTTGGTGGTGGTGCCCACCTTTAATCCCAGCACTCGGGAGGCAGAGGCAGGCAGATCTCTGTGAGTTCGAGGCCAGCCTCGTCTACAGAGTAAGTTCCAGGACAGG